CCCATCTCCCTGATCTCCCGATCCCGACCAAACCTGATCCCGCTCCCTTTGCCGATCCCGCTCCCCCCTCGTATCGCGACCCTTCCCCCCCGCCCGACTGTTACCCCGCCCCGTTTTCCCCCTTTGGACTCCATCCTAGTGCGCACGTACACACGCACTTCCCGATTGCTTTACTCCCCGATTCGCCTTCCCCATCTCCCTGATCTCCCGATCCCGACCAAACCTGCTCCCGCTCTCGCTTCCCGCTTTTCTCCTCGGCCCCTCCCCAGATCTGCCTACCCCCGCGCCTTTCCTCCCGCCTGACCCATATTCCCCCGGCGCGCACGTGCGTGCGACCTCCCCCCTCATTTATTCCACACCCATGTGCGCGTGCACGTTGGGCAGTTGTGGGGAGCCGCACATCTGATAGAAGGTAACGCAGGTGACCTACGATGAGCTCAACAAGGCTCTTTCGATTTTGATTTCCACTACGAATACAATCTGTGAGAGCGCAGCATTTCAGGACTTCAAGCTACACGTGTCAGAAAAGTTACCATCATCATCATCATCATCATCGCCGCCCTTGTCCACGTCACCATTACATTGGCTCATCATCATCAGGGCGCGCATTTGATCTGGCGACCTCGTCGTTTCACCGGGGGAACGATCGAGAAGACCCTTTAGGGGTTGATTGAAGACCTTCCTCGACTAGGAGGAAGAACCTTGAATGCTCCCGGCCGACCTGGAGCGCAATATTGTCAATCTATCTCCCTCCTATTAATCCCCTCCCTTCCTCTCGCCGGTCTCTCTCAAAGATCTCATCTTTTCCCCCATCTTTTATCTCTTTTCCAACCCCCCTTCTCTTCTCCACCCTCCCACCTAATTGGTCGCATCACCCAAAATTTCTACCATGTGTGACACGTATCTCCTTTCTTGGTGCTTGCATGACAATGCCGTCCATTCCGCCGTCCAGAATTTCAATCTAATTCGATAGGATTAATCTCCACCTCCTTTCCCCCCAACGCCGTAATCAGAATTAATTTCGGCGGTCTTGTTTAAAAGTTATGCAAATTCCTATAGTCTCTTGATTCTTTTCGTTATTTAATTTCAAAAATTCAATTTTATTTCAGAAATTTATGAAATAAATTTCGGAATTTACTACAAGGAATTCTTGCAATTCCGAAATTTCCTTCTATTTTTATCTCCCGTAAAATTCCGAAATTCCTCCATCGTTTTGAAATTCCTTTTGAATTCCTTTTGAATTTTTTTTGAAATTTATTTTAATCTTGAAACAAGTCAAGAAATTTTATTCATTTGATCTAGACAATCCTGTAATTTCTCTCAACTTACTTTATGCAGCTATCACTAATTCTTTCTGAAATTTCATCGTAAATTCTTAATTTAGGAATTAGTTTTCTACGTTTATTTCAAATTGCCTTTGAAATTCTTTTAATTCCGAAAATACGTTGAGGAATTTTCCATTCTATTTCAAAATTTTCCTATCAGCTCATCTCTACATCTTTCATCATCTCCTTGAACTTTCAAAAAATTTTACGATTATTTTTGAAATTCTTTGAATTTTGCTTAAATTTCTCCTAAATTCTGAAATTACGTCCAAATATTTTCTGGAATTTTATTTTGAATTCGTGATTGTTATATGCATGCTCCCTTCTAGACCCCAGACTATCCTCTGARAATTTCCTCTCATTGTCTTCCCCGAATTGGAAATTTCCTCTTTTTCCCTCAATCCGACTTTGAATTTCCTTGATTTAATTTTGGAAGTTCGTCAGACCTCATTTATACTCGCTCTCCTATCGCAGTTCCTTACTCCTCTTTCTATGTACCAACCTGGCTTCCCGTGACACCCATCATCGCGCACTCCAAAATCGCGCCCGGGACGCTCGCGCCGCAAACCGACTCGCTCGCTTTGACGCCCCGATTGCTGCCACTGAGCGCCCCCCCCCCCCCAGTTCTCCCCCCTCACCTTCCC